CAGAAACAATTATGGCGCAATTCATTAGGCTCGGGAATTTTTACTAATTATTTAATTGCAACGTTTTTATGAATGAAAAAATCACATTCTTTTTGATAAATGTCCTATTTGTTCATGGCATGAATTTCATACCTAGATCTTTACCCCTTCACAAAAATTCTAGTAGAGTACAACAATACCCCAGTTCCATTCTAAATTGGATGTAGTTGGCAAGTTTTCACCTGTCAGAGAGTATTTTCAAACAGGAAATCCATTCAGTTTTGTGTTGTATTCAGCGATATTTTACACCCACTTTTGTGTATCTTTGATCAAGCCGAAAACGATCACTAGATTTTATTTTGCAACTGTTTCTTCTTTTAGAGTTGGCGACATTGTAAACAAAATGAAAAGAAATAAAAACCCAATCAATTTCTCATTGTTTGAAGCTAAAGCGAATGGCGAAAGTTTTATTTAACAGTTTAAATATATACATATATCTGTAATTAAGCTAATGCGCTATCGATAACCTGTAAACACAAGTCATGCACATTTAGATCGGGAGCAGATAGATATATAAGATAATACAATATCCATGTAGGTCGTATAACTTGAATACAAGTATTCAAACTTAACAAAGTCGGTGAACGTTTAATACACTGTTTGGGTCGTCTGTTTGTCTCACAAGGACAATAAGAGGGTCCCGCCTCGGATTGAATGTCCCCCATATCATTTGATCGCCGCTAGGCAGACTATGAAAATACATAGTCATGGCACCTTTGCAACGTGACGCCCCAAATCTCCACCCGAAGCCGTACTCTGGTGTAAAAAAAAAAATCACTTGTTAATAAAGAACGATTAATAATCGTAATGGACCATCGCCCTTCTCGATCAAATAACGTAATGGATATATGATATCTTCTACATATATTGTTTGTAAACTTCAATCAATGTTTCAACAAGCCTAGTTGCTAGAGAAAACTGTTACAGTAGCTTTTTCACTTCAAAGATTATCCTCGGGTTACATCTTTTCCTATGTAAAGGGTGTATATTAATATTTTTTTGAGCTAATAGATCGAGTTAGTAATCGAAATTTAACTCTGGTATCCGATTCATGACCTTGAAATCAAGTACAGTACAAAAGCACTACCCTGTTATCACATCCTGCAAGCTCAAGACATAAATTGTATTTTACATCTGAGGATAAGTCAATCATGTACACGACCCAGAATGTCTATCACTGATTTCTTTATTTTTCGAAACTTTCTATAGACTGATGTTAAAAAGCTCGGACAACTTTAAGTTTTGAAATTCCTCTGAGTTATTTTTTGATGAAGAAAAACGACTCAGAAATTTAATGAGCGAAAATCCATATTCGTTTTTTTTTTTTTTTTTTTTTTTTTTTAAGTAATTTGATGGATTTAAATAAATTAATTAAATAACCTAAGAATTTCTTATTTCGAAACCTTTTCCTCACAGTTTGGTTTTACTTTTCTATTTACTTGATGTAATTGCTTCTGATCAAACAAACAAACAAAACAACAACAACAACAACAATTAAACCAACCAACCAACAAACAAAACAAAACAAAAGTTAAATGAAACTACACAAATTCATTCACAAAAATTATAACAATTTAACCGAGTAGTTCAGAATTTATACTTTAAGAATATTAGAGCAAAACAAAATTTTTGGGAAACGTTATTTAAATTTTAGCATTCGACAACGGAAGTTTTGATATATGTACACTTATATTAATTTATGTACGAAGTAAATGCTTCTCCTGTGTTTAATCCTCCACTGATATCTCCTAAGAATTAGTACTCACAATTAATCGCATGTCACAATGTCCTTATCCAACTAGAGTTCATAATTTTATTCAAAGTAACCACAAGGCAAGACTTTCTTGTGTTAGGAAGAAAATGCATAGATGCCTATAGTTTTTTGCTTTGTTTTTGTTCCCCGTGGATTAGCTGCTTCAAGCGCACTGTGTATATCCTGCCTATTGTATAGTGAAGGTGTTTTAGGAACCCGGTTCAGAATTCTACTTTGGTAATGAACTTGTGCTTCAATATCTTGTACATGTACATAAACTTTCCTAGTTATCTTTTATCTAAACTCAAATCGTTCTAAATTTAGTCTGCATTTTTTCGGATTGTTTTTATCAGGTAGGTTAAGTTAATCAGTAAAAAAAAAAAAAGATCGAGTTTGAATAGCTTTTATTTCACAAATAAAATGTTTACAATAGTTCTTCAATACGAGTAATATCGAGACACTGGTCTTCAGTTTGAACTGTTCAGTTATTCATTTAATAAATGTAAGATTTCTCACAATTCCAAGTAGGCACTTAATTAAAACGTGGAAGAAATTGTGTATCCCAGGGAACAAATAAAAGTACTCCTCTCCTTTTCTCTTACCGGAAACACTATTATCAACAATAAAATAGATATGGAAGATTTTCTGTCTGTATTTCAGTAATTGTATACAAGTAGAAAACTGAGGAAATCAATAGGATTAGCGATTAAGTTCTTAATATTTATCTATCCAGTGCTAAGCGGTTATTGCGTGTCAGCGTTTTAATTTTGATAAGGCAAAGAGAACGTGAGTAAATTTCACAAACTTTTATACATCAGTGTTAATGACCGTAAATCCTGTGGATTACGATCAGCAATGCAGAAAAAGTATACAAAATCTACATCCTTAGATAATATATGACATTGTAATTATGCTTCCCTCTATCGACATTTGCAACCACACCTCAGATTAAAACGCTTCCGTGGCAACCTATCAAAAATGGAACTCGAAAATTTTTGTATCTTGTGATTGGTCATCAACAAAATTAATTTGTTAAAAATCACTCTGATTCTACACAAAAGTACTCTAAGTTGATATTAAAAGGATGCTGGAGGTCCTTATTGACAACATTCATGTAGTCTTCGGAGACCAGGTCTTCCAACAAGCTGTTGGAATTTCGATGAGCACTGATTGTGCTCCTTTATTAGCCGACCTGTTTTTATATTCCTATGAAGCAGAATTTATTCGAAAACTTCTACATGAGAAAAAGAATACACTTTCTGTGGCCTTCCACTCGACATTCAGATATACATGTATCGACGACGTTTTATCAATTAATAATAGTTATTTCCATTCTATGTCGACTCGGTATATCCCAGTGAACATGAAATAAAAGATACACAGAGTCTGCTACATCTGTTTCATAATTGGATGTTTTACTGACTATAGACGATAGGGACCAACTAACAACTTAATTGTATTACAAGCGAGATGACTTCAGCTTTTCCATCGTTAACTCTCCTGATTTATGTAGTAATATTCCGCTATCGCCTGTATATGGTGATTATGACTCCCAACTTATTCGATAACTCAAGAGCATGCTCTGTGTACAATCAAATTTTAAACCGAGGCAAGCTACTGACAGATAAGTTGATGTTACAGGGATTTTAACTTCCTCGTTTAAAGTAAGTATTTCGTAAATTCTATTGTCTTATAATGACCTTTTAACAAATAAACCTATCACTGGGTCGTATTTTGGCTGTTTCAAACCAATTGTTAGTCCTTTGTTTTAATATTGAATTTACTACGGAATGTTCCGTCTACCTGATCAATACATAGGGCTAACGGAGGGTGTGACCGGTCAACAGGGGATGCTTACTCCTCCTAGGCACCTGATCCATCCTCTGGAATTCCCAGGGGTTCGTGTTTAATGCCCTGTTTACAGATTTGTATTGTTTGTAGATTTTTTTTTTTAGATCGATCACTGGTCGTTGTCTTCACCTTTTTCATTTGTATTTAATTTTATGACATTGGAAATATTCGACTCTGCTCATAATTTGTATTGTTTAAATGGACTATTAAGACTGATCACTGATCGTAATCTTCACATTTCAGGTGTGCACATGATTGAAGTGTTTTATATTATCAATTCATTATCATTATCATTGATTTGGTTTCTGCTAAGAATTTAAGGAGCGATCTGGAAATACTTTTTTTTTTAAAGAATAGTACTGCCGTTTTTGATCCCTAATTTCCTCCCCTAGGATAAATGGAAATTCTCAAACCTTAATGCAAAACTACAGGGGAAACCAGATTTTCATTAAAAAAAACCCCGTAGATATTCGACCCTTAATTCTAAAAGATGAATTATGTATGAGACATCTGAGGAAGGAGATTTTATTGACAAACCTTTTTTTCTACCCCCAATTGGCCCCCAGGGTGAAAATGATTTTTTTTTAAAATCATAATGCACATCCTCTGGGCTCTACCTATCATATTCCAAAAGATGAAGGCTACTGCTAAAAATGTAAGAGGAATTTGAGGAAATTCTAAGATAGTGTAACAGACTGACGGACCAGGATAACAACAATAAATCCCAACTAACTTTAGAAAGTTCAGGCATTGAAAAAAAAAAAAAAACTTAAGACTTTTTAAATTTCTGCTCCCTATTGGCCTCTCATATGAAAATAAAAATTCCGAAAGCAAACCTTTTTGCACATCTACAAGTGGAGTTCTAGAAAACGTGTTTTTGTAGAAAAACGTATTGTTTTAACCCGTTGATGAAAAAATAAAATTATAAAACTTTTTTGCATATCTACAGGACACCATCAATCATACTTTAGAAGCTGAATTAGCTCCTACTATTTTATTTCAATATACCAATTTATCATCTATAATTTGATAACAATGTAGGCATTTATAATTTCAGCATCATATTTTTTTTTCTCTTTTAAGTTAATGAAGCACCCTGAATACAGTATAACGTCAGTTTTCAGTTGATTTTTTTTTACTTGTTAGTCAAACAAGCACCCTGTTTATACAATTCAACCACTTATTTAATCGGTTTTATTTTTGCTAGAAAGTAAAAGAAGTACCCTGTATATAAAATATAAGCGCTTATTAAATCGGTTGATTTTAGTTTTATTGTAAATAAACTAAGTACCCTGTATATAGATTATAACTACTTGTTAATAAATCTGTTGATGGTTAATTGGTGACGTCATTTCAGGAGCCACGGAGTGGACGTCGGCGGCCGGTGGATAGCAAGGATAGCTGGCTACAATTTATCCGGAGAGGATCACGACCCGCGAAGCAGACCGCCAAAAAACGAAAAAACAAGCGCCTACAAAGATTGGTACGAATTTTATCTTGTTACATTGTTAATCGAAGTGTACATTGTAGATCAAAACAAAAAAAGCAGCAGCAGCTCCAAGAGTTCTCATTCATACGCAGTCGTAGAGCCAAATATAAATTGGTCACTCTTACATGTGCAATACTCTTAATTTTGAAATATAGTCAGGTTACATTCGTATTTCTCACTATGACATTAATGCACATTTTATATAAATCAAATACCTGCCTCCTTATTGCATTATTTGTTTGCGAGTAGAAAATTACCATGACCCCAAATAGATTTTCATACTTGGAGAGAAAAAAAAAAAACAACATAAAAAAATGCTAATCAGTCAAATGACCATTATTTCACATATCTTTTTTAACAATAAGCCCATTAAAAAAACTTTAATTAAACTCAAGTGATTGTATGGTTAGCCATAAGACAGAAGGCTTGAGTTGATTAATTAATCTAATACAGTAAAGGATCAGATCTAAACCGGTGATCTCCCACTCTTACTATACATATATATAAAAGGTATTCGTCCAAAAAGTTCTGCTATGAAGTTCTTTTAACTTAGTCGACATATATTATAAAACATTATGAATTTTTTAAAGTCCATTATACAGCGTATGTTTATGCAGTTATCTGGCACACTTATTTAGGGATGTCCCACAGGACCTGCAGGCCCACAGGGCCCACCCGGACCCCCTGGGCCAAAAGGAGCAAAGGTCACAATACAGGAACTGATGACGGAATTCCTGGATATCGTTAAAGGTTTGATTGGCTTACATGAAAATAAAGTGATTTTAAAGGAAAGATATAATTTTGATTTTAAATACAAGTTTGTATAACTTGAATATCATTATTGAAATTCAATAAGTGTGAGTAGTTATAAGACATTACATCTTTTTCTTTAAATCGTTGATTGTTGAATAATCGTTAAAGACTTGTTACAGAGGCTGCAGAAAGACAAGCAGAGATCATTATTTCAGAGAAGGTAAGTTGAAATTCCCTGCAGAAACTTTCTCCCTTTTTAAATTGTAAGCATTAAAACCGACTGAATATCAACATCGATGTGTATAATTATGGTGCTCTTTAATTAAACAACTGAAATTAAGACAAGCTCTCTACTTTGTGTTTGTAAGTGTGGGATGTGCTCTTCGGCCATGAACAATAGCAGCGCGGAAGTAACCATGCTTATAAATGACGTCATGGCTGTGCCTAGAATTACATCTGGATTTCATCTTCGTCTAAAAAAGAATGTCATCCTAGATAGCAAAACATTCATGGAACTTGATTCTTTTCATCAAGTAAGCGAATCTCTGTCATCAAATGAATACAACAGACAAAGCATTTCCTTCCACTGTTTCATGCTGTATATAATGATATTGTAATGCTTTTCAGCCTTTTGCCGCCGGATCTTTTCAGAGGGGAAATGCTTTTAACATCAGAAATGGCCGTTTTACGGCCCCCAAAGCAGGGATATACCAGTTTTCCGTAAATTTACATATGCGCGTGAAGAGGAATGGCCGGAGATCCAAACTTAAGAGGAAAGACGCCATAAAGACTCAGATTTGCATCAATTCATTATGTAATAAATATGTGTAAGTATTCAAAACAATCATCAATCTGTGTAACATCTAATCGAAACGAAATCAATTTATTGTCAAACTGAAGGCAATCCACATCTTTGTTTGCAATACATCACATCATGTTTAAGCACTGCTTACAGTAATAGAACAAACAGAAGACTCGTCTATATAAACATAGTATTAGATTGTACTAAGTAAGATTCAGATTGGGCCTTAAAATGAGTAAATATCTATACTTCATAACGTAATGCTTAGATTCGAAAATCACCATTTTTTAATGTAATTTTTTTTCAACTTTGAAAACAATATTAAGAACACCTGCTACCAACAAAAAAATGGATGCTGGGGTTGATGTATATTTTTCGATTTATTTTGGTTGAAAATGAAGCAAATATCAAAATTTAACATTATAAGATACATGCATTGTAAATTTTCTGTATTGTTCCAAATTTTTCACTTTGAGTAAAAGATGGTTTTATTGTGCCCCATTTTAACCAATGATCGATGACTTTCGAGTAAATTGTTTTGGAAGTCCCGATGCCATGCGCGCGACGACTTCAAACTGCACCAAAAACAATGTCAAGGAATCGCAAATACTCGTTGGACTTAAAGCAAACTAAAAAAAAAATTAAAAGAAATAGAGGATAAAAATCATGATCTTCATCAGTTTACCCTTAAATTTACAGGTACGTGGTTATGGCGTCTAAAACGTTGCATTATTATACTTTTTTGTTATTCCTATTCAATTTTTTTAATTCTTATTATAAAATATATTATTCCTATTCTATAAAATGTGATTCCCATTCGATAAGTTGTTATTCTTATGCGGAAAAAATGTGATTTCTATTCGATAATGTATCATTCCTATACGATAATTTGTTATTCCTATTAAAGTTTATTGCATATAAATCATATACTTATCGAATATACTTATCGAATAAGAATGACAACATTATCGGATAGGAATGACAAAATTGTCGAATAGGGGATCACATGTTTTCGAATATGAATGACATAAACACGTTTTTGAATATGAATGATATATTTTGGAATAGGAATCATATCTCTTCCAATAGGAATAACAATTTTTGAAATAGAAATGACAAATTATCAAATAGGAATAACATTTTATCGAATAGGAATATGTTTTAGAATAAGAACAATGAATTCTTCGAATAAGAATAAAAAATATATATATATATATATAATTATGTAACGTTTTACACGCCATACCTCGGAATTTCATAATCTAGTTAAAATAGCCATACAAATTTCAGCAATTGGTAATGATTTTGGCTTTGAAATGAATTTTTCTGTACATAAAATGACTGTTTTGGTATTATAAATCCCGTTCAAATCTTGCTAATATGGGAAAGATTTCATAAATATATTCATTTGTAATACTTTTTGAAATATAAATATTTGTATGTGTACGTATGGAACAACAGCTAGCAGACAGATCGAGGAACTCTGTTTGCAACCTTATGCATAGATACAAGATGGTGAATGGGATGACTTCCGGTTAGTTTCATCAATTGTTTGTGCAAAATTAAAGTACACAGAATGATTTCAGTTTGAATGATCTTTTATTTTATATATACAACTATGTATTTTAAAAGTATTTACGCCATACACGAACGTTTGATATGATCGGATTGGCGTTGGCTTTAGCCAAAGTGTGGAATAAACTGATATGAAACACCTTTTCACCTTTCCTATGTAGGAGTCCAGCAAATATTGTCACCGCTTGACGCATCATCATTTTTAAATATATATATTGTGCGATTTAAATTTCAGAGGTTTAAAAAATATAAAGCATCATCGAGACTTTGGCAGTTTTTTACATGACTTTCGCAGTATTTTCTAATCTCGTGACAAAATCTGAAGAAAATCAAGATCAGTTAACAATCTCCATTCTCATCCAATGTGATGATGACTCTGTCACTTTATTTTTATGAGTACAAGTGAATATTAACATGGGCACAACTAAGCACACACGATCGCCGCAAAAACAGTGAGAGAGAGAGGTGCCGAGAACTCGAATACAAAAGAATGGCAAACAAGAGAGTAATTGTTCCTTTCATTTAGTTTGTTCAGCCACTGACCTGATGATCAACACTTGAAAATTAAAAAGGAAAGTAAATATTTCCTCGCTACTCCTTTTGTGTACCGTGTATACACTCGATGTGGGTAACAAAACCTATAATTATCGGTGGTAAACAGTATGCCCCCGACTAGTTTCCAATCATTTAACGAAATAATAACAATTCATGCGAAAGGAAGTGCAACGAGTGCTAAAAAATTAAAGGCATATTGGCCAATGGGAACATATACTGATACATGTGCTGAGGAAAAGACATAATATTCTCAATTAATAGAATATCTAAAATAGATTTCAAGGGGAATATTCTAAATGTATTATAAAAAACTCCTTTTTAGTTGCTGGTAAAGGTTTAAGAACTAAAAATCAGTTACGATTGTTAACAATATGAGGTAGACTTTCAGTTTGTTTAGGCAAATCCTTTCCATGAGAGAGAGAGAGAGAGAGAGAGAGAGATTAATAACCATTAAGTCATTATCATTATTACATGCATCAGAACGAAGTGTCTATAGTATCGAAAAATATCTTGAATGGCTTACAAAATATCGATATACTAGTCAACATTCTGAATAATTTTCGATAAAGTACACTATATAGTCACATAAAAGTATTTCAGTTATCAACGATAATATAGACTACAAATAGAATTTAATATTTTCTAATATTGAGTATTGTACACAGCAAATACCGGTAAATGCTTTATAAATATGTCTTTTACAGATCCCTAAGTCATGTGATTGGAATGGAAAGTAATAGTAAAATTTTCACGGTCAGCTTTTCAGGATTTGTGCAATTAGAGGTAATTTATTATACTCGGTACCATAGGAACACAAAACAGCAGTGTTATAAATAGGTACTATTAAAGCAAGAGAGAATAATTGTATATGAAATTTAGTATACAATTATTTAATGTCTGATCAGTCAATAGATCAAATATTTTCCCAAGGTGCTGTGAACAGGTCAATGTGTTCTATTGCCCGAGGCCAACGGCCTATAATGTGAAAAAATTCAACTTTAAATTGAAAATTAATAAACGGCAATAGAAAGATAGTTAAGATAATTACAAAAAAATCTTTTGTTTTTTCACTTTAATTTAATTATCATTAAACAATATTTGATTATAAATTAAAGCATATATAAGTCCTTTCAATTGTACAAGGTAAAAGTCATACAAGTTATTTAGTTACAAAACATTTATATTTTTAAATTATTATTATTTTACACAGATCACCATATACAGTTTAATATATATATATATATATATATATATATATATATATATATATATATATATATATATATATATATATATATATATATATGGTGATCTGTGTAAAATATATATATATAATGTATGTATTTATGTATGTATGTAAACTATGTATGTATATATATATTTATATATATATATATAACCAACTCTCTTTGCAGCAATCACAGTATGTTTCTGTGTACGTTGATAATGCGTCAAAAATGAGTGTTGTTGTGTTGAAAAATTCGGATTTTACTGGGATAATGATGGGAACATGAGTACGCCCTACGCAAGTTATAAAACGTGTCAATCTTCAAAAGTATGTGTGCGTGCGTCAATGTGACAGTTATCCCGTCATATCGTGGGCATCCCCAGCCCTCAATAGCGTCATGTTACACCTACTCGACAAGAAAAAAAAACTCCTTTAAAATTCTGAGATTTACTTGTTGTTTTTTTTCATACCATTTAATTTATTGTATGTATTGTTTGAATTTTAATGTATGTGTACTTGCTCACAATGATATTTTTTATTGTAATTATAATTTGTTACCAGTTTTTGTTTCTTAAAAAATAAAGTTGTTTATAAAAAAGGCATGGTGTGAGGTCTTTAAACTTTGGATCTTCATTCATATATTTAGCAATTCATTATGTTTTCAACTGATTCTAAAACGTCTCTTGAAAGATGGGCAAATAAAGTGAGAAAATTGACTTTGGTTTGATAAAGAAGTGAATAATTTTTCTCCAATCAAGAAAGGACATAAAAACTTCAATTCACTTTCTGATACCCTGGATCTTTGTCACGTGATAATGCCGATGATATATATCACAAAAAAATGTGAAGCGCAGAAAAAAGTTCATCATGTCATTTGCAACTGTATTGTATTCAAAACAAATTTCACTTCTTAAACTTTTTACATTAGGCACTAATTAATATCCGGAAACTTAATACGTTTTGGTTTTTTTTTATGTCTTTCGCACACCCATGTTGTGGAGTAGTCTATCAATTAGGAATTGAAGCAATAAAAAAAAACGTACATGTATTATTTTCCCGTGTGCACATTCTAACACAACCGAAAATAAATCGGCCTCTCCTGCAGTCTCTAATGAACTTTTCTTTAATTCATGTATATCAGTTATCATCATTTGAAAATCATTACAATATGACATTAGGCTTTTTAGGATAAAATCATTCATCTAGAAAGCACCATGCACAAACCAAAATAGTCAAAATTGACCATTGTGCACACAACAAAATAGTCAAAATTGACAATTGCGCAAACACCAAAATAGTCAAAACTGCCCATTGTGTACACACCAAAATGGTCAAAATTGACCATAGTGCATACACCAAAATAGTCGTAATTGACCTTTTTGCACACATCGAAATAGTCAAACTTGACCATTATATACACACACCAAAATAGTCAAAATTGTGTACCAGGTACACACCAAAATAGTCAAAATTGACCACTGTGTACACACTAAAATAGTCAAAATTTTGCACGTACCAAAATAGTCAAAATTGACCACTGTGCACACAACTGTTCTGTGCATGGGTTCATTTTATGAAAGTATATTTTCTAAATATAAGTCTAGATTTTTCGTTCAACTAAAAATAGGAAGTGAGGACCCACAATTTTTTTTAAAGTGTACCGGTATGTACAATGTGACTTTTAAAAAAACATATCTTTCTTGAGAATATTTGAAATCCCGTTATTAGAGTGTTGTGTATCACAAAGAAATATTCAAATGCCATCCCTTGTTACGATATTTAAATAGTGTCAGTCTGATTAACTGATGATCAAGGGTTATGTCGTGTGAGTTTGACCCTCATACAAACCTCTAACACATTATATTTCCTTTTACCAAAGTTTGATTTTGCAAACAGATATTTTCGATACCCTGAAAGAAAATAAAAATTTTGGTTTGGTTTGAACATATTTTATTGAATAAATTTCACAGATATGGTTCGAACACCAGTCTTTACTTTGTCTTTGTCACAATTGCAAAATTATTTTGTTAAAAACATTCTCTTTGTTCACACAAATACTCCAAACTTGATTTTAAAAAGATGTTTGAGTTTCGCATTGACAATATCAATGTACTTTTTGGAGTTCAAGTCTTCCAATAATCTGCTGGTATTCCGTTGGGTACTAGACCCATTTTTGTATTCACATGAAGCAGAAATTATTCGAAAACTTCTATATGAAAAGAAAGGGTCTCTTGCAACACTAAGATAAATCGACGACGTTTTAGCTATTAACAATATTCATTTTTATTCCTACTTTGCTTTGATATAGTCATTTGAACTCGAAATAAAGGATACCAAAGAGTCTGACACATGTGTTTCATATTTGGATATTTTACTAGAAAAAGACGTTAATGGTAACCTAACAACCTAACAACAAAACTTTATGATAAACGTGATGACGTCAACTTTTCTATCGTCGACTTCCCTTATTTATGTAGAAATATACCTTCATCACCTACATATGGAGTTTATGTCTCCCATTTGATTCAATGCTCAAGAGAATGTTCTACGTACGAACAATATCTGAAACAAGGCAAGCATTGACAAATAGGTTGATGAAACAATGAGATATGAACAGTCTCGTTTAAAGTTAACATTTCGCAAATTGTATGGTCAATACAATGACCTAGTCAACAAATTACAATCTATTATTAAGTCGAATGTTGACTGGCGTTTTTCATCACATTGTTCGACCATTATTTTCTCACTGATTTTTCTACTTATCTTTCCGTTTATGACAGGAGCATACGGCGGGTGTGACCGGTCGACTGGGGATGCTTACTCCTCAATCACCTTATCCAACATCTGATTTTTTTTTGAGGTCCGTGTTTGCTCTGCTCCAAAACTTGTATTGTTTAAATGGACTTTCGAGCTTGATTACTATATTCGTTATCTTCATAATTTCACCTTAAAGGGTTTTACTGTATACAAAATTTATACATCAAAATTTGATTTTTTATACAAACGATGTGAAATGTGAATTTGACGAAAGTGTCGGCATTTTAAACGCCTTGTTTTCTTTATATTTATTTTGGTAAAAAAAAAAAGCCATTCAATCGTGTCTATTCATTTTTCTTTGATTAAAAATGTTTAATGATTTTTTTTCTAACGGCATTTCATATGAATGGTGTACAGTATGTAAAAAGAAAAAAGTACGTTTTTGTCTATTCATTTTTCTTTGATTAAAAATGTTTAATGATTTTTTTCTAACGGCATTCCATATGAATTGTGTACAGTATGTAAAAAGAATAAAGCACGTTTTCCTTGTGGTTAAGCAGTGAGCAACAATTGATTTTCCACATAATGATACGGTTGAAACATGTTTACATAAATTCTGCATGTCAATGAGAGTTTATTTTGATTAATTTTTATTTTTTGCGTGAGGACATTTGTCAAAACTACTAGAATAGATCAATAGCTATGAAGTAAGTCGTTAAAATATCTGGAGACCAGATGTGAATTCCATCGGAAGTTGAATAAAAGGCTGAAATAGTGTTGCACAGGAAAGTAGGCTAGGAAGGGAGTGTTAAAAAGGAACTACGGCTTAAATGAATGATTGTCTGGGAAACATAAAAAGGGAACACTCAACAAAAAATAGCTATGTTCAATAGCTTATTGAAAATCTATTTCTTCCAGTTAATAAATTGAACTAAGAAGAATGTTTTTATGATGGATCATTGTTGCGTAGTTTAAGCATATGCTGGAGACAATTAATTTCCTAAAAATAAGTCTCAATGTATCGAAAAAGATCCGTATTCATTTTCGGATTTATTCGCTACATATTTGTAATACTGCCCTAATTTTTCAAGGGAAAGGGGGTAAAATATAATATTTGATCGATGAACGTATAATTTAACGCAAGCATCCTTACAATGACAAAACTTTTCTAAAATCGACTTTTGAATTATCTTTTACTTTATATCATTTGATGGTAATAAACACCATGTCGTCTACAAATTTTAAAATTTACTTCTGGGTTCAGATTGCGGGCTTCAGGGTTGGGTGAAATCGATCATGATTGAAATGCACTTAATCTTTTCGTGTTTTCCTCTTTGCTTTAAAACAACAATTAATTTAAAACAATTAGATATAAAGTTTCCACGACGATCTAATGAATAAAATCTTTTCATAAAATTATAAAATTGTCCCCTGTGTCAAGGGTTTATGCCCCAGATTTACCTCATTATGGTCAGACTTAATTTCCTTTAATGTTTTAAAGAATTATGTGCACTTGGCAGGAAAATCATTTACATACTTGTTTTAGTTTCTGATTCTTTTACCTTTACAACTTCCTATTGATTACTTTGTTTCCCAGTCAATACAGAGGGCTCACAGAGGGCGTGACTGGTTGATAGAGGATGTTTACTCCTTCTAGGCACCTGATCTACCTGAGGTGTTTTCCAGCGTCTTTGTCCTGTTCTCGATATGTATTGTTTATAATACTTTTGAGATTAATCAATGTTCGTTATCTTCTTTTCATTTTGATGAGGGTTTCCAGCCCTACGCTTATATCTTGATAACATGAAAAGAATTTATTATCACTAAATTTAAAAACTTTGCAGAACTGGGTTCTTTACTATGCTATACTTCACTATAGGATTGAATGTCTTATCTGGTATAGATAATATTTAACATGGGAAATACCTGTACCATGCATTTCTGAACCATTTTGACAAATTCAACTACTGATTGACATTTTTAAAGAAGAGAGTAAATTTGACTTTGCAAACACATTCTTACTATGCTTAAAAAATACGATCCAAAACATAAAGGCGTACAGACATACTGATATTGAGATTTTTTTACCATTGGTTCTTACAGTGGAATCGCAGTCTTAAAAGTTTCACAATATTTGATGAAAATTGTACAGTCTTACTTTAGCTTTGCTAGTAGATATTGCTCTGAATTTTAGCGTTTGGCTTACTGCAATGAGGTGAAGATGTGTATTCTACTGCAACAACAGCAACAACAAAAATTAACAAAAATGTCTGCGACACTTCAATTTGAACTCGAAACTTTTTGGGCACAGATGATTCTAGATTAGTGATAAAACTTTCAAAAAAAAAATATGAAAAAGAGAATTTTAGGGTGAACGCTCTCGTCAACGCTTAATCGAACATCATATAAACAAATAAGACAACGAGGTCCTAAAATAGTATACAGTGTTAAAGAACTCTACTTCAACACGTTTTAACTCGCTCGTATTGTAACACATAAACTTGTTTTTCTGTCTCTTCATAATAAAGTATTCCCTAGCAAATTCTACTCACTAAATACAAATATAACAGTCGTTCAAACTGTCGGTCATTAAACTTAGAACGATGATATCAAAAGATTTACTTAAAAAAAAATAGAATGCTTTCTATGTATAAAGGATATAAAGGTTAAAATATTGCAGAAAAATACATAACCCTGTAACGGTAGATTATGCTATGTGGCTAATCGTTTCACGCCATCAAACATGACAAAGAAAGACAACTTTTTTTTTTTTAAATTTTCAAAAAATATATTCGTATA